TTCAAATAGGCAAACTGCGGATACTCGGCCAAAACCGGTTGTATTTGTTCTAGGAGCCGTTCCTTGAGTACCCTGGCTATGGCCTTACCTGCTGCATCTTGGATTCCAAGTGGCCTCAATGATTCCGGCCTTTTGATAGTCTTACGCGGCTTGGGAATAAGAAGCTAAACAACAGTCTGCCCATCTGGAGGAAAAGCCTGCCACCGACTCATAGTGAAACGCCTCCGTCAGCGGTCCACATAGGTCCTGCCTGCAATATTTCCAGACAGACGAGGGGGCGTGTCCCCATGGCACTGCCTTTCCAGCGCCCGGCCTGCCCAGAGAGGCTTGCACCTCCCCAGGGTAAAGAAGAAGAGGATCCAGCCTGGGCTCAGGTTCCACATCATGTGGGCTTCCATTGAATAGCTTCTGAAAGTAAGCCAGGACCTCGGCATGTTCCTCTCGAGGGTAAAGAACGTCACCTGCTTCAGTACGTATTCGCACCCGTCCGCCGTGCATCTTGGGAGCAACCGACCTTACCAGCTCGTAAAGCATCCGAACATCTTTGTTCTGCTCAACCTTGGTAGCGAGCTCCAGCTTCCGTTGTAGCAACTGCTTCCGATGCCACAGGCCTCGGCGCCTTACCTCGCGATAGCTCCTCTGGAAAACAGCATAAGCTCGGAAGGCATGTAGCACCTGTCTCCTGGAAAAGAGTCCCAATCTGACATTCCTACCCACTCGCTGCATTTCCCGCCTGTGCCGCCACATCGTGCAGAGTGAGGTCTGGACATCCCGTTGCTGCCACGGACGTAGAGCAGCATCCTTGCGCACCGGTGGAAATTGCTCAACGCAAGCTTGAAGCAGGATGGAATTCAAGCTGTCGGCCGTGTGCTGCTTGACTTCCTTGAGGGCAATCTGCACCCGCTCCTTCAGAGCCTCCGCCCGAGCATCCCCCTCTCGTAGAGACGCTTCCAGTCCGGGTTTATCATACCAGCTTTGTTCGATTCTTGACCACAGTCCATCCCGGCTTGAGTGGAACTGATGCCTCCACTGGCCTGTGCCTAGCACCAAGTCTCCAAGGCGAAAAATCCAAATCTAGTAGTGGGCGCGCCTCCCGTGACAGTGAATCGGCCTGACATCTCCTTGTCATGATGAAATCAATCTGACTCTTCTGAGAGCCGTTTATGAAGGTGCGCATGTCATTCCCGGATGGCTTACTCCAGGTGTTGAGCATGCATAGGCTATTGGCCTGCACATAGCCCATAAATTCGTCCTGGTCAGAGTAGTAGCTGCTGGGCCCCGTCGCTGTTCGGCCAGCATACCCCTGCAACCTCTTAGCCGAGCAGTTAAAATCACCGGCAACTATCAAAATGTTTCTCTGAGGCAACGACGACGTGTACCTCCCCAGCTGGGTCCAGAAGTGCTCCCGCTTGGAGGCGTTCTGTGTGATCACGTGCTGATAGCAAGACATGAGGTCAATGCCGTAAGCGTCCCCGCTCAAACGGACATGTAGCAGCCTGCCTGGTATCACAGCCGCACTTCGAGCCGTGTAGTGCTCCGCCACCGTGGTGCGTATTGCTATAGCCACCCCTGCAAAGCGGGAAGAAGGATCCGGCGAGCTAACAAAAGTCCACTGACCTGCCTTCCACTCCGCCGGCTCCGAGCCAAATCCTCTGTGCGTTTCCCGCAGGAAGATAATGTCGTAAGGTGCTGTCTGCATCCACTTCACCATGTGATCATACACCACTGTCGTCATACCATCTAGGTTGGCACAGAGCACACGAAGCCGCCTCGATTCCCTCCTAGGTTTACTTCGCGCCTCTGTATGTTGTGGAAGTCGTATACTTTCAAGTTCATCAGAAGTAAAAAGTTTGCCCCTGTAAAAAATGCTACCTCGTCTCATCGCACGATGCACTGCCCGCCTGAAGGATCGCTTCCTCGTCGCGGACAGGTTGGCAGCACCAAGCTTTCCTCCGGATAACCCGCAATTTTTCGCACCAGCCGAGGCCGATGTTTGCAAAGGTCCTGGGGGTGGGCCTTTAACCCTCGCATCTGCAGTGACCGACGTCAATGAAGGTCCTGTCAAGATAAGGATGCACCAGAATATAAAAGCTGTGCAACCTCGTCGGCCACCACCCCGGGAATTGGGACCCGGGCGGCTCTGATATGTTCTTCTTGTTGGCGCTGCATTGTATTCTGAACGTCTCGTCATAAGTGGTCTAAAGCTGTTATTGTAGCTTGGCTGCATGATCTCTGTGAGGTCCCGACCTGAAACTTGAGGAGCGACACCCTGAGAGTACCGTAGAGAGTACCGTCCGACGATGTGGTAGAGGGCCTGGATCAGGTACTATATGCAATTCAGGAGGTGGAAAAGATCCAGCGTCACAAGCGTAGCTGCTGCAACCAATTGTTTTCCAGCCAGTGCAGAGTGCTCCCTCCAATTGCCAGCCGCATTGGGCGCAATTGCATTAGCGACCACTTTAGTCCTTAGTCTGTTCCCCAAATCCATAGTCAGTCCCCGGTTGGAGAGCCTGAGCTGGGAGAGAAAAGCGAGGAAAGGTTGCTCTCGCGTTCCTGATCAGGCTCCAGCTCCTCTCCCCCCCGCCCTTCGTCCCCTGACTCCCGGCTGAGGTCGGACGCGAAAGGGTCAAACTCAGAGGCCTCTTCCTCTCTAGCCTCCTCCATGAACTCATCAACCGGGTTCCTGTTGCAGCGGGTAGTCCTGTCACAGGACTGTACTTCCTGTCGGTCTCGTCGGCTGCCGGTTGCCCAAGTCGGCGTACCCTCCAAGGCCCTAAGGCGTTCCCTGTACTCGATCTCCTCCGAGTCCATCGAATCGTGAGAGGCCGGAGATGCTGTATCCAGCTCGCCTTCGCGAGCACCCCGTTCAACTCGGACAGGAACAGGCGGCGGCGGACCACGAGGAGGACTTCGGGCAAGTCTATGCCCTTCCGAGCTTCCTCTGCCTCTTTCGTTCGGCAGCAGTCGCGCCCGGCCCCGGATTGGGCCTCTTCCCGGTCTCGTCCTCGAGTTGGAGGATCGTCTGCGCCTGCTTCTGCTTCGGGGACGCCAGCTTCCGGATCTGGCGCAGCCTCGTCGCTCGCCCTTGCCGTATTCGAAGCAGCCATAGGGGGAGCTGAGTGGACAGGATTCGCGGCCTCCGCAGGCCTAGCAGCAGTGCTTGCGGTGTTTGCAGCCGTTGCGGCTCCTGCAAGCTGTCGCCTGATGCAGTAAGGCAGGTCGTCGAGATGCGACATCCCCGCTGAGCACCAGGAAAACTCTCAGCCCTGCTTTGAGCCATGAAGTGCAGTGCGACAAGGCTGCCTGCAAAATATACCAAACCGGCTGCACCAACCAAAGGCAGAGCAAGAGTCATTAAACATGCAAGCAGCGCCTCATCGCTCCCCATGCCAGGTGGGGATATTTGCAAGCGTTGCAGCTTGTAGGCTCCGCGAAGTGATCTAGCCAACTGCAGCCGTGTAGGCCCTTTAGTCCATAGACTGTAACATGCAGCTGCCCCCTAGCCGCATACGCTGTCTCGACCATGCTACGGGCAAACTCTTCATCCAGCCTATATGTACGTTGAATGAAGGCACCTCTACGCTCCACGTGTAGTTCAGTCCACAGCTGTTGCCATACCAGTAAGGTTGACATAGTGTCCCAGCTGAATGCAGACTGAGTTTGCAGCGTAATCCGAGTGGCAATGTGAAGAGGCCGTATCTGCTCAAGATAGAACTCCATAGCCAGCTGAAGCAAATGAAAGCGGAGTGCGTTTTCCCGCTGCCACCAGCAAGATCTACGAGGCATTTTATTACAGCCATGATCATCAAAGGAAAGATCAGCCAGGAAGAGGGCCATGCTTGCATGCCGGCTGCAAGTGCCGTTCACCGAAACGACAAGAAAACCCCGAACCAGCAACCGAAGCCAAACACACCCCAAGCAGGCGCCAAAGCACCCAAGGCCCGCCAAAGGCCAAAGACCACCAAGAAAAGCGCCGGGTTCGCTATGAGCCGAGATGCTTCTACTACTACTACTACTACTACTACTACTACTGCTACTACTACTACTACTACTACTACTACTACGACTACTTTTTTTTGGAATGTCCAACCATTAAACATGCCGTGAAACTCTGGAGTGCCCCTGAGACTACCCTAATCAGAGACTACATAGACTACCCAGCGCCCAACCCCAGAGACTACCGTGAGACCGTGAAGTGCACCGGGAGACTCTCGAGACTCCCTGGAATGCCTAACCCCAATAACTGTGGTGCGCCCCCATGGATCGTCGACTGACCTGAAGCGAACACGTGTTTGGGTACGTGTACGGGGACCCCACGTCTGTAACGCCAGTCAGTGGTGTGACCCCACGCATGGGTCGTCGAATGACCTAAATCGAACACTCGTGTTTCGTTCCGTGTACGCCCCATGACAGTAACGGCAGTGAATCGAAAACTCATGCGTTGTTACGTGTACAGTCAGTGGTGTTTGTCTGTAGAGTGGGGGATGTTCGATGTAAAATAATCTTGCTCACCGGGTTTCTGCTATTGCATTATAGTCGACGCATCCTTCACCCAAAACAGGCCGCTATTCCAAAAGATGCCAGGCAGCATTTCCGCATCCATCCAGGAAGTTCTTGCACCTCTTGCTGGCTCAAGGCTTCTCGTTGCTGCGCGGGCAAAAGGAGCAGGTCCCTCGCAGCACATTGCATGTCAGAAGCCACATGCCATTGCAACCACAGGGGCTAAAAATGCATTTCAAGGCCTGAGCTTGACCGGCAAATCCTCTTCCATTTGATCCGAATCCCGGTTCCGTGTCATCAAAGTGACGTACGACCTTTCTTCTTGCAAGCTAAGCGTCCGTATGCGTCCGTCGTGCACAATTGCAACAGCACACAGGATGACCAACATTCACAAGTCTAGGAGCAAATCGCTTTGCAATATGTTGGTTCTGCTCCTTGGCACACCCCCATCTTCATAGAAACCTCGATTGCACACACTGGCAGTCGTAACAAGGGTCGTGCAAATTGGCTAAGGCCGCAGAGGCACCAATGTAGCGGTAAAACTTCACATCACAATCTGACGGGTCCCGAGGACGCAAACGATCAGGATTGAATGCGAAACTCCGCGCCACCTGCGCAAGCAAAGCGCAAACCAAAAACCGATGCACCGGCCAACCGAGAACATCCAAGAAACTCCGTTTCGACCGTGGCTTCTAACAAACCGTGCCGGGTGCAAAGCTTGCTGCCGAAGCTTAAGCTCAGAATGGCATCGAATAACTAACTAATTAGTGTCTGTGTTCTGTCAACGAGAACGCTATATTACCGTTCTTACCTGTGTTGTCCGCGGTCAAATCTATCAACCCAATGACACCACGACTTGCCTGTGCTAACTTCCGAGAGAAAGATTAAAAAAAAAAACATTACGAACGAAAGCATGCCACATCAGGCGTGCGAGCAATCAACACCATACTCTAAGAAAACACAAGCAGGAGCCACGACAACAGCAGGCGTGCTAGTGCTGTTGCAATAACATGAACAACGACAACAAGGCAACGTCGCATGGTTGCAGACGATGTTCATGTGATGTTCGAACCCGCCCAATCACTGCCAACCACCTGCCTCTTCGTCCGGCCGGATGATGGCAGCATTCAGAACACTAGCACCACACCGGCATTCGTCAGCACCAACAATGCCGAAGATATCCATCCCTGCCGCAAGCGGATACGGCAGCGATACAACCTACTGCAATGAATGACCTTCGGATGTTGGGTTAACATATGCGATATTTTTGTCGCGTAAATGTACATGTTGCTGACTTGCCCCCCCGGGGCCTAGTGCTTGTCTCGGCTGGGTGGGCTGGTGCTGGAAAGGGTGTGGACCCCCGGGGCGGCACTTAGAGTCGTGGGCGACTCGAGGAGCACCCCCCTTTCCCCGACCTGGTGGCACTAGGGCGACAGTGCCGTTACGTATCGGTGGGTCGACATCTTTCTTGTCATTGGGTGATGTGCCATCTTTCGTTTCGATTACTACAACGACGATGAAAACGGCAAATTTTCTACTGCTACTACTGGATGTGGCATGTATTCGTCAGAGATGAATGAAATGCTACCATGCATGGGGTCAAGGGCATGAGGGCGTCCTATGTATATGTGAGGTATTCCACGCTGACCACAAGCTTTGACAGATCGCTTGGTTGCCGCTTTTACCACCGGCTTTCTTCCAGGGATGTGCCTCTGTGCCGTTTATTGCTCCGGCTGCCTAGTTGACTCGTGATACTACTTTATTGGACCTGCTTGGTGGCGTGCTCGCCCTCGGTGCTGGAACACTGTTCCCTCGGCACATGGCGCACGCCTTTGGGGTCGCCCTTGTGTGTGCCCCCGGTGCACGGAGCATCGCTCCCTCGGCACTGGCCGCACGGCTTCGCCCCCTTGAGGCTGTTTGCGTCTGTCGACTACTTGCTGTACTCTTTGGTGCATGCCGGGATTGCCAAGGTATCGTTCAAACCCAATTCATTCCTGGCTCCTTGTCCCTCGACCGCTGAAACAGTCTTTCCAGATGTATCCTAAAAGCTATTTTTTACAGTTTTTTGGGGTTGCACACCGTACACGATGGTTTAAAACAGTGACTTGTCTGCATTAGTTAATTCTCCCCCGCTTGAACTCTGTTAGGGGGGCTACGACGTTTCCGGGGCCCCTCTGAGATGTTGAGAGGCAGGACACGCGTGATGGCGGTGCTCGCAGGTGCACCGCGGCTGCGCCAGCGAGCGCAGCCTCGCCGGACGTAGTTCTGTGAATGGGGGGACGATTGCGGCTTCAGCGCGAACTGGAAGCCATGCCTGGGAAGCAAGCCGTTCGCGGCGACCTCGGTGTGCATCTCGGTGTGCCGCTCGTCCGACAAGCCCCTCGAGGTCCAAGGTTCACATCCACGAGCAGGGGCAGTCGCAAGTGCCGCAACCGGAGGACACGGAGGACACGGAACGTTGCAAAGCGGTCAGCCGAGGCGGAGACCGAGCCTGCCGAAACGACGAAGGCTGTGCACGGGCTAGTGAAGGGTAGAGGTGCAACACCGCGGCATGGTCGGCGAAGTGGTCCTCGACGCGGTCATGAGGCAAGGTTGCAAACACATTGGGATTCCATTATCGTCAACTGTGGCCACTTCTGTCGTCTTTCTGTCACGCAGAGGAAAAGCACTCACAGCGCGAGGTTGCAAAAGAGAGTGGAAAAGCATTGCTCACATAAGCGCTCAGAATGGTTGGGTATCATGCGCATCGCCTTGCAAACACGGTTTTGGTCCTGAAGCTTTCCGTCTATTACGCAACAGGGTCTAAGTTCTCACAAACCTTCCTTCATTGGACACGACAACGAACGTATCGTCGAGCAAACAAGCGAACACATTCTAACCGTCCTGAGGTCTACGCGATCGGCTTCATATTATGCATGTGTACGTGCGTTGGCGCGGCATGGAATCAGCGCGCAAACGGGAATATAGGGGCTGGAGTGCAGCGCGCCAAGCATGGCACCTCGTGCTGAGCCCGTGCCAACGGCTGAATGAAGCCCAGGTAGGACGTCGCCAATCAATCACCAGCGAACCAGTGCGCGCGCTCAGCAGGTTGCATCGTTTGCTCTATCCGCAAATTAGTTCAAAACGAAGGTCTCTGTGCCGAAACGCCCTACGAGTAGGCTGCAGCGCCGGCGCAGCTGGAGGACGCAGCCTGATAGGCATGGTCGCAGCGCGCCTCGGCGAGGTCTCTGGGCCTTCCCCGAGCTCGGCCGCGGGGGCATGCTCGAGGAAAGAGTCTGCAAAGGCGCGCTGAGTTGCGACCGCTAAGGGCCCGGACCAGCGCGCTAGTCTGGATGCGGCAATAACGGCCGTGGCCTTATGTAGCGCGAGCAGGCGCAAGGGGCTGCACGGTCTCAGTGCCAAACCTGCCGCCAACAACGTCAAACCCGCATCGCCGGGCGCTGGCGCGTTCAGGATGGGTTTGATGTCGCTTCCGGCGCGCGGCGGCAATGACCGCGTAGCCGGGCTGGACATCGGCGCAGAGGGCCTCGCCAGACCGCGTAAGGGGCGACACGATAGTGGCATCGAGGGCGAGTTGGCACCGTGCCAGAAACGGAGACCGTGCGCGACAACTTCGATGCGCCGCGCGTCGATGCGCCGCGCGTCGACCGGCACATCCACAGTCATGTCTGCGAGCCGGACGTTGCGGGCAACCCTGGCGCCAGCTTCCCGGCAGACTCGCGCGACGGCGTGCTTTAGTGGCAAGGCACGGGTGGACAGGATCCCCTAGGTGGCACAGGCAGCGCGTGATCGCCTGAAGGGTCGAAGAGGGGAAGTCGCAAGCGGTGCACCAGGAGAACACGGAAAGGGGCACTGGGTACGGTAATGTCATCCCGCGTGGGTGTGGCGTCTGAAGCGCTGGCGGCGAAAGGCCCAGCTTGGGACAGTTTCATCGCTCGAGAAGCAGGTGTAAAGTCAGAAAGGTGCATCTCGTACGCGCGCTTGTCGCAGGCGTGGCAGCGATTCCTTGAACGGCCAACGTTCGCGGGGAACTGCGGGGTTGTCGGGACGGGGTGCGGTGCGGGGCTCGCAGACCAACCCGGGGCGTCAAAGCCACAGTCGCAAAAGTGCTGTCGCACAAGGGTCGCAAGGCAGGACGCCCTCGGAGCAGGCGGTCAGCAGCGGCGGGCGCGCGGGCCTGCACGACAGGGAGGGTGTCGCACCAAGACACCCAGTGAGCTGCGTGGCGGTCGGAGCTGGCACAGCGCAGGCCTAGCCCACCGAACCGTTGTGGGAGTTGGGCTGCCCGTACTGTACAGGGGTTCAGGGGGGCGTCGAGCTCCAACAAGTAGGCGAGGCACTGCGCGATGGACAAATCGTGGTATGCGCAGCAAGTAGTTTGTGCAGGGGTAGCAGCAGCCACGCGGCCTGCAGGTCAGCAAGGCGCTGCAATACGCTTAGCGCACTTGCTCTGGAGATGATGGGCAACAAAAGCGTCGTGGCCGGGAGGAAATCCGAGCTGCAGGCGGCTCCTCCCCGGCAGCATTCCAGATACGAATTTTTCCTTCGTGGAAACGGATTCGCGCACGGTTCCACAGGGCGTTGCTGAGGGCATCGTACAAAGCAAAGAGCACGAGTCCCTTCAGGCAGGGCGACAATGTAGACGTCATCAGGGAAAGCAAACACAGCTTCACCATCGCGAAGCTGACGTTGAAAGTCGCAGAGCGCGTCATGCTGCGCCCATGCGTAGAAGGCGGGCATCAAGGAGTCGGCTTGTTCGCCACCTTCGCCCTGGCGCACCCCGTGCCGGCATTTGTGGTCATCGCACCACGTGTAGACGCTCGGAGAAAAGTAGAATTGCCGAGCGAGGGGGAGGAGCGGGTGGAGCTAGCGTCCGGCAAGCAGCGCCCCGAGCATCGTGCCACGCGAAACGTGGTCAAACGCGCCGAGGGCATCAACTGAGAGGATGGCGGTGCGTGGGCACGCTTCGGTGGCAGCGCGGAGTAGGCGGCTGACAGCTTCTGTTCCAGTGCGGGTGCTCAGGCCGCACTGGTGTGGCATGCACGCCTCCTGGAACTGCGGTGCAAAGCGCCTTGCGAGCACGCGACCAACGAGTCGCCGGAAGGCATCAACCCCACAACGAGGGCTCGGACTCTGCCGTTGGGCTTTCGGAGCGCCGTTGCTTGTTAACTCGGAGCAACGAGGCAGGCATGCATCCTCGTCATCATCAAGCAGATGCGCACGTGCTCGTTGGTTGCGCCCGAAAGTTCAGCCAGCGAGCGCCGCGCAAGCAATGAGATTTGCAGGGGCAGCGGGCATGCTTCGCCTGGGGCATGCCGGGGCAGAGGAGCATGCGGCGCACAGGGCCGCCGCTTTGGGCATGGCACCAGCGGCGCGACCAGCTGGAGCTCGCGCGGCTGCGGGAGCGCGTCCAGCGAACTGTCGCCCGGGTCTCTCAAAAGGCTGGGGCGCGTGTCGCCCGAAACATGCATTTTGCAGGCTTGAGTCTCTTGGTCCCCGTAGCCGATGTGCGCAGGATCGCAATCGTTTGCAATGGCTTGCTGCTTTGGCACGGGGCCCAGCTTGCTGTCGATACAAGTTGCGGAAGCCCGGTGTTCAGATAGCTTTTTGCTAACGAGTAGGCCA